TGCAGATCGGTTAGCATGTAGTGCTTCGAGCTCTGGCGAGACATTGGCGAAGGTGATTCCAATAGGAATACTGACCCAGCCATCTAGTTTTGAAGAACCTTTAGACTCTGAACCTTGGCAAATTAATGTCATACCGTATGAACCGAGTTGGATTGACCCCATCATCACTTATATTCGAGATGGCGTTCTGCCTATGCAAAGGGATGAAGCTAGGACAATCAAAAAGAATGCTGCAAAGTACGCCATAGTGCATAACCAGCTGTACAGAAGGTCCTACTCTGGCCCATACTTGAAGTATGTCACCCCCATAGAGGCTCAGCAGGTGTTGCGAGCTATTCATAAAGGCGTATGTGGAAATCATTCTGGGGGAAGATCGTTAGCGCACAAAGCAATGACACAAGGGTATTTCTGGCCGAACATGTCAAGAGATGCGGAGGAGTTCTCTCGAAGGTGCGATAAATGCCAACGGTATGGACCATTGATCCACCAACCACCTGAGGAATTGCACGTAATGGCCTCACCATGGCCTTTCGCGCAATGGGGGATGGATGTGGTCGGTCGTTTGCCAACTGCAAGAGCTCAGAACAAATATGTGCTACTGGCCACGGATTACTTTACTAAGTGGGTGGAAGCAAAACCATATCCAAGCGTGACTCAGACTCACGTGAGACGATTTATCTGGAGCCATATTATCTGCCGTTTCGGCGTTCCAAGGTCAATAGTCATGGATAATGGCACGAACCTCGACAGCAAGCAAGTAAGAGAGCTGCTGGAGGAGTATGGAATTAATCAGAAGTTGGCTGCAGTAAGTCATCCCCAGGCCAATAAACAAGCAAAAATTACAAACAGAACAATTTTCTCCTGCATTAAGAAGAAGCTGGAGGACCATAAAGGGAAGTGGTTGGATGAACTCCCGAATGTCCTATGGGCTTACAGAACCACCCCAAGGCGGCCGACTGGGGAGAGCCCGTTTGCAATGGCGTATGGTACCAAGGCGGTTATACCGGTTGAGCACTTGGTCCCAACTATCAGAAGCTTAACATGGAGTCAAAGTCAGAACGACAGAATGTTAAGATTGAACCTCGATATGATAAACGAAAAGAGGGACGCTGCAGCAATAAAGCTTGCGTCATACCAGCAAGTATTGACGAATAGTCACAACAAAAGAGTGAAATACAGAGATTTTGCCCCTGGCGATCTGGTTCTGAAAAGAAAGGTGGGGATAGTCAAAAAAATGATGCCACCCTGGGAAGGCCCATACAGAATTACAGAAGTCATAGGGAATGGGGCATATACATTAGAAACCATGACAGGAAGGTTGGTCAACAAGCCCTGGAATGCTACGTCTCTGAAGAGGTACTATCAATAAAAGCTAAGTTTCAGTTTTATCGGATGTTGTTTATTTTCAATCAAGTACATATGAATGTGCAAATTCCTGAGATTTATAAAAATAGTTTTCCTTTTCAAGGGGTAAAAAAAAAAAAAAAAAATGGATGAAAAAATGAAAAAATGAAGAGCCATGTGGCAAGTGGCATTCTAGCCGAGCGCCAGGCACTTAAGCAAGATAAGTGGCAGCTGGCACCATAAGCCGAACGCCAGACACTTGCTAAAAAATGAAGAGCCAAGTGGCAAGTGGCATTCTAGCCGAGCGCCAAGCACTTAAGCACACGACAAAGTCAATATGAAAAAATATTGAAAGTGGGTTTGAACAGAGCATAGCACAAAAAAAAAAAAAAAAAAAAAAAAAAAAAAAAAAAAAGAGTTTTATCATCTCATTGATAATAAGTTTCAAGGTTACAAAAAGTGAAACATTCAAATCACATAACTACAAAAGAGTATGAAATCGAGGTATTTGGAAGAGCCCTAGCTAGCTGCCTCAGTACCGACAGCCTCCTGGTTGTGCTGACCCACCTCTTCGTTCCCGTTAGCCATCTCACCCTCACGAGGTGGGGAATCGAGATGAATAACAGAGTCGTTCTGCTGGGGCCCAACGTCAGCAGTGACTATGGAAGATACCACAGTTGACGAAGGAAGAACGATTAGAGGCTGAACGGTAGAAGGAGCTGTAGTGATCCTGGAGGAAGCAATCTCCTGACACTCATCAAATATGTGCTCGGCTTCGGTGGATTCTGGGTCAACATAGACCCCCAGAGGGTCAATCCCTAGATCCTTATCAATTTCATCCGGAGTTGAACTGGTCTGGCCCTCAGCAGGAACTCGGTCGGAGAAACCATCTCGGAATCCCTGAGCATATCTAAGAGCTCCAACTCTTGAAAACCGAGCATGAAGAGCCAGCATTCCACCATTCACTCTGCTAATGGTGTCAATCAGAGCGTTGTACTCGTCCAGTGCTCTTTTCTCAAATGCCATCCGAGCAGACTGCTCGTTAGCCAGAAGGCGCTGGAGTTCTGCCTTTTCATCCCTGACTGAATCGCGCTCAGTCTGCCAGACGCTCTTCTCAAGCTGAAGGGCATCTTTTTCATCCTGGAGAGAGTCGGTTTCTTTCTTCAGAGCATCTCTCTCTTTTTCAGCTTTTTCAAGCCGAGCCAATATCTCGGTGTTTTTGTTGGCAAGAATATCGTTTTCCTTATTAGCCACATCCAGGTTATCAAAGAATTTACGGGCCCTGGCATTCCCCATTTCCGCCTGTTTCTGCATAGCCATCATACCGAACAAAGTCTGCATAGATATGCATGAATACTGGTTAAACCGATCGCCTGGTCGGATGAAGGCAAGAACAAATATTATGAGAAGATTCATGAGTTAAAAAATAATAGTCACCTCCATGGCAGATTGGGGAAAGCGGCTGAATACATCCTTTTGTGACAGACCCTTCGCTGCCTCAAGGTCTTTTGGAGTCCACATGCTCTTATAGTACGCCATGGCGGTCTGGCCATCCTTGAACATGGTCTCGTTCGGCTTCACGAACATCCCATCCGTTCGGGTGTATCGAGGAGCCCATGGTGGTAAAACAGGAGTAAAAGCAGAGGCAGAAGCTGAAGCAGAGGCAGCAGCTGCAACAGGCCCGGAGGGGGCAGGAGCTCTGACTGGGCGATGCAAGAGAGCGCTCAGTCCAGAAACTCGGGTCCTCTTTGTAAGAGATTCCTCCTCGAAGTTGACTCCACCGTCAGGATGAGGTCTTTTGCCTCGCTCTTTGTCCCGAACACTCCCAGCAGCAGCAGGGGTAGTAGTGATCTGTGGAGATGTGCTCGGGTTGGTGACAGGGGTGCTAATAACAAGATCAATAGCCACTGCACTCGGGATAGTGTCAGAGATGGTGGCTGAAGAAGAGGCTAATGCCGGAGAGGAGGTTGCTCCAGCAGCAATGGTGGCTGGGGGAGGATTTTTCCTCCTACCAAAGAGAGGAATCTGAAGCTTGCTCATTGTATAGCCAAGGGCTGAGAGCGCTAGAAGGTTGTCTGAAATGAGGAGGTCTGAGCAAGAAGGAATATCGTTCAGAACGTATTTCTTCAAGTAATTACTCCTATCCCTGTAAACACTGTAGCTCAAGTCATCACAAGGAATGCCTAAGGAGCGACATAAGAAAGTACATGTTTCGCAGGGACAGTCGTTTTTATGAAATTTGAATTTCTTATACGAGGAGACAGAATAGACGCCAAAGGCGCTCGGGATTGGGTAATCCTCTACAGCCGGCGAAGACCAGGCCCCACTAACACCCACAATGTTATTCCTCCAACCCTTTTCAGATTTGATTGTATCCGTACATATGGACATCTTGTCGATCGGGTAAAGGTGGTAGAATGGCTCTTCAGTACGGATTTTACTGACCTTATAACAAAGGAGAAGATCTATGAGATCAAGATCCAGACCTCTGTCACGGATCAGCAGTAACAGAACGGATATGATTCTAAGGAAATTTGGGTTTACCTGCAGAGGGGAGATCCCCAATCTATTGAAGACATAGTTAAAGAAGGGATGCAGAGGGAACCTAACGACATTCAGTTGAAGGTTAGTAAATAAAACCTCGCCGGGAAGAAGGCCAGCACCGGTCATAATATTAACATCTTTAGGGCAAACCCTAACTTGGATGTTGTCAGGAAGTCTAAGTCTCATACGAAGAACATCTAGATCTACAACCATGGTGAAAGCGAATGAAGGATCTAAAAGAGTAAAAAGAAGTCTTCCGAAAGTAAAAAGGAACAAGACTAGCTTCTGGGGTAGAAAGCAGCAAAGAGCACTGCAAGATCGCTGGAAGAATGACTCTTGAAGAATTTCACCGGAAGAAATTTAGCACTGTTCTAAAAAGATGAGCGAGAGATTTGACTGATGATGGAGAGAGATGGAGACGGTAAAAAGGCATGAAGTGGCATTCTAGAGCCTTATAAAGACGAAGTGGACCCGAGGGCCGAAGCGTCAGGGGGGCGAGAAGTTTATCGAATTCCGGAACATTGATTCCGGATCCGACCGCCCATTCCCCCATAAGAGTTTCTCGAGCCGTCAACGTCATGATGAGACGCCTTTGATAATTACCCCTTATTAAATAGGGAGTAATTATGAGGGCAGTTGAGGAGGCCAGAAGTGACATGGGCCGGATATGACCCGCGAACATGGCATCCGGTCCGAGCAGCTGGGTCCAGCCCATAGAAAAATACTGCCATATGGGCCGAACGCGAACAGCCCATCAAAGATGACCAAAACCCACCGAGGAACGAGCCCAGATATAGCAGTCCATTAGTTTTTGTAAGTATCTATAAATATGAGAAGTAATAGATAGAGAAGGGAGATCTTTTCTGTTGAAGTGTAAGAATTCCAGAGAGAGAAAATATAAATGAATTCCTTGCATCTTCAATAATTGAGGTGGATTTGTATAAACTATTCAAATTTATGTTGCATCAGAGCGAGCGTCACTTATTGGGTGGCGTCATGGATGACCGTGTGCAGATCACAGGGAGACCAAGTAACAATTTTGAACTACAACAATATATATATATATATATATATATATATATATATATATATATCATGTTGGTTCTTAAAATCGCATATAGCTTTGGTTCTCCTAAATCTGAATCAAGTACAGTACTAAAATTCACAGATTGTAAGCTCAGCGAGTTCAGCCCAATCTAAGCCACCTCCTCTTTCATGGCTCAAGCAACCCAATCACTCCCGCTCCAAGACCGAGTCGCAATCGTCACAGGCAGTTCTCGAGGAATCGGCCGTGCCATCGCCCTCCACCTCGCTTCACTTGGCGCCAAGCTTGTCATCAACTACACCTCTAACTCGGCCCAAGCCGACCTCGTCGCATCCGAAATTAACTCCACCACCGACGCTCCCCGCGCCGTCGCTGTAAAAGCCGACATCTCCGATCCAGCCCAAGTCAAGTCCCTCTTCGACGCGGCCGAATCGGCCTTCAACTCAGAAGCCCACATCCTGGTCAACGTTGCCGGCGTTTTGGACCCCAAATTCCCAACGATATCCAACACTTCTCTCGACGATTTCGACAGAACTTTCAGCGTAAACACCAGGGGGGCGTTCCTGTGCTGCAGAGAGGCGGCGAACCGCCTGAGACGCGGCGGCGGAGGGAGGATCGTCTGTTTGACGTCGTCGGTGGTGGCGTTGTCGCCGCCGGGGTACGGGACATACACGGCGTCTAAGGCGGCGGTGGAGGCGATGGTGAAGATACTGGCGAAGGAGCTGAAGGGGACGGGGATCACGGCGAACTGCGTGGCGCCGGGGCCGGTGGCGACGGAGATGTTCTTCGACGGAAAGACGGAGGAGATGGTGAAGAGAGTGGTGGATCAGTGCCCGATGGGTCGACTCGGGGAGACTCGGGATGTGGTGCCGGTTGTTGGGTTTTTGGCGAGTGACGCCGGGGAGTGGATCAATGGTCAGATACTTCGCGTTAATGGTGGCTTCGCTGTCTGAGCTTCCACGTTGCTTCGTGTTTTTAATGCTCTGCTTTACCACTTATTTCTAGTGAATTTCTTTTCCTTTATTGGGAAGGTTTAACATGTATGATGATCAAGTATTGGTCCATACAGCCAGTTTACAACTATTTTGACCGGACATGTAACATCTCGATTGCAACGGAGACCTGACAGTTATTGCGAACAATAATATTTAATGGTTTTATTATTGATTTGTTTTGTTGTGAATTATTCGATGGACCGGTAAATATGAATCATTAATATTGTATATATATATATGTGTGTAATAATTTTTAAGTTAAATAAATATAAAATTACCGTTTAGTGTTAGTGTTAAAAATGTTTCACCTCAAATTCGAATCTAAATGAAATTGGTACATGAGCTAGTTAGGCATTATCCTATCTAATAATTCGAATTTTTTAGTTACAACACGAAAAACCTAGTCAATCCTGGACATCCATTACAATTGACATGAGAACCATATCTAATTCTAGCTGAACTTTAAAATTGCAATTATATTTAAGTTTTGTTTTGTTTTTATTCTAGCTGAACCGTGAAATTGTAATTATAAACCAATGTTAGTATTTTGTTTACCAATTCCTTTTCAAAATAGAGTGCCATTATGAGAGGTCGCTATATATATATTGTTGTTGGGATTGGGTACAAATATTGAGACCTTGTATAATAGCTTGGAATAGATTTTTATGATAATTATACAATCTAAACTTCATTCTAAAGTTCATTTGCAGTAAATCACATTATACAGTCAAACTTTTATAATAAAAAAAATTATTTAATTTGATCAATTTATATTATTAACTTCTATTGTCTCATATAAATTTATTTTATAATATTTTGATCAAATTACAATACCAAATAGATCACTTTAGTATTAGCTATTTAGCTACGGATGATATAATTTTTACATTGCAATTTAATTGCTATTCAAAATCACTAGGAATCTAGACGTTGTAAAAAAATAAAAAACATGCATTAAATGCATTACCTAACTTGAAAAGGGTAAAAAATAAAATACACAATATTTTATGTAAATAATATAAATAGAGGATAGTTTCTTTAAAAATGAGGATACTAAAATCCCCAGCAATGGTATTTGACAAAAAGAGGCCGCCGGTTGAGAATCTCCGGCAGATCTCTCTACCTGAACATGCAGGCTACCCCTCTGATGGATTCTACTGTCCTTGACGCCATGCTCCGTTTATACCTCTCCCAACCCGCATTGATAAAATAATCTACCATAATCACCTCATGAATTCTTTGTGGACACTCTCATATCATGTTATAATATATGCGTAACACTTTTATTCCATATTTAAAAAAAGTGTACAATATCTTCGAAGGATATTTTAAATCTTAAATGGGCATAAAAAAGGGAGTCATGATACTCATGGAACACTTACCGTGAATTGTCTAACCGAATTTTTAATTGACTATTTATACCCAATAGAATTAAGTGGAGAGTTTTATTTCCTTATTTGTTACATAATTGACCAATTAAAAAAGTATGCCTACTGCAACTATTCAGTCAAATGCCTATAGGTCAAATTTGAAAGTTTATACCAAATGAATTTTTTTATTATTTTAATATATGAGTTCCACAAATAATTCAAATTTAGTATATTATTATTGTTTAATTAAAAGATAAAATATTTATAATTTGATATATTAGGTGCAGTATGTAAAAATATTAGGTGCAGATGCTCTAACACTCTTATTCTTGTAAAGTTGTAACATAAATACAGTATAAAATAATATTATTTAGGAGTGCGTTAGATTCAGTAATACACATGCGGTAGACCAAGAGGATATAAATATGTTTATCTTTATTTTTGCTGATTAATTCACATTTGTACTTTTAAAAAAAAAAAAAAAAATTTGAAATGTTCATCTGCCGCTTGTGTTTTATGGGATAGACTTGTTACCAAAATAAATAAATAAGAGTATAACTGAGGTGGATTTGTATAAACTATTCAAATTTATGTTACATCATCGCGAGCTTCACTTCTTGGGTGGCGTCATGAATGACCATGTGCAGATCACCGAGAGACCAAGTAACAATTTTGAGCAACAACAATATGTATACTGAGGGCAGCAAATTGCAAAAAAAATTATCCCATTACCACTATTACTCAATTGCTAAAAACTCTTCTTGGGAATATTTTTAACAAAAAATTTCCTTTAACTATTCCAAAAGTGTGTTTTTAACTTATGTATGTTTAAATGAATGTTCAGGGAATTTTTTTGAACGAAATTACCCATAGATTATTCATCACACAATTTATTTATGAATATTGATAAGGGAATCGAAGAGTAATTTTCGAATTATCACATAATCAAGCCACATCAGATTTTTTAGGGACGTGGTAAAAAAAAAAAAAAAAAACACTTTGACTGTAAGGCGAGAAAGCTGATGCTGGTTTGAATATACCATATGGATAAAGAAAACTTATACGCTAGAAAACTTCAACAAGAATGGCCTCTGCTTTCTCATTTAGTTTTCGTACGAAATCGACTCCTTCGGCAAATGTTCTATACTCAACTGTCCGGTTGGGGGTCGATTTTATCGAGATAGAGAGTGAAGTGGAGAAGTTGATCTGGTTCTTCGAGTTGACTCGCCAGTTGGCTCATTCGATGCTGTAACAAACTCAAAAATTAATTGTAATTCCTGACTGAAGGTTTGACATCCATCTATTTTTTTGTTTGGATCTATTAATTTCGTACAATTGGGTTTTTATTTGGCTTCTCTACGAACTCAAAAGACGAAATATGTATTGGATTTTGATTTGGTTCTACCCTGATTTGCCGCAATTTAACACTAGCGCAATCAGAAGTTGATCCATCGAACTGCAATCTCTAACGATGAACGTTTCTCGAGTCTCGTTGTTGCCAACGATGCCGTTGACCGCTGCGATCGATCCTTAAAATTTGGCTTGCGATTTAATATGCGCAGTTACAAGACAGTTTGAAAGGTTAAAGATGAATGAAGTATGAGAGGTTAAAGAGAAACAATAATTCCTAACACACGGTGAAAGGTGAATAAGCCACATGAGAGAGGAAAGAGGAACCGTGTTTAAAGAATGTGACGTGGCTTGGCTATGTCATGCTGGGTGAAACTTCAGGTATATATGTTCGGTTTTGTATCATTACTCTTTATTTATTTTTTCTCTGTTCTCTCTTCGGGTCAAGCAAGCCTTCTCATTCCTTTAAATACAAAGTTAACAGCAAATCGAGAAACCCAACTGTGAAATTAAAACAATTTTTGAGTAGTAGATGGTGGAATAAAAACAATATATGATGAGATGATAAATGCATTTCTCTCAAACTAAATTACTTAAATATCTTTTATGATTAGATTCTTATGAATTGAATAGAGAACATCGATGTCCTTTCACATAAAAAATTTTCATATTTTTAAGTCTTTAACTTGAGTACATTAACTACAATAATTTCGCCTAAAAAAGTTACTTTAGGGTATTTCGTGTTCTCGAAGTAAGTAAATTTTTTTTTAAAAAATCAAATTTAAAAAATAAATTATATTGCTTTCTAATTGCCAATTTTAGTCCAACTTACCTTGAAGTAGCATAATTCAATTAAGGAAAAGAAATAAATTGAACTAAGGAAACATGGCAAATTAATAATTATTTTCCTTAAAATAATTCATTGTTATAATGGCTGCTAAAGATCAAGTGCATTGAAGGAGTTTTTGAGCTGTTTAATTTTTTCATCTTCTGCTCCAACGCCATGGTGAATCTTCTCTCTCCTGTGCGATTGTACTCAATGTTATTTTATTAATTATACATAGTTTAAAGGGTTTAAGTGCATTAAATCCCCGAACCATCAAGTGGCTGTTAACAGAAAATGAAAATTACCATTTAGCCCTCCGTGTTGATTTATTATTATTATTATTTATTTATTTATTGTTAATAAGCTGATGTAACAATTGTAATCTCTATGTCCAATGAAAATTGGCCAACTCAGAATTATTTTATTGAAATGGATAAAAACAATTATCCACCAACAAGAGAATGACAACTCAATTAGTGGAAATATATATATATATAATTGTATTTCTTCTCTATCGGAAGCAACCACCACCACCCTCCTTTCTTTGTCCATCTCGTTGTAATATTTTTTGGGGCCAACAAGAGATTGAAGGAGATGAGAGGAAATTGTGAAGTTAGAACATCAAAATATCAAAATGGGTTCCAATTTAAACAGGTTTTATATTGGGGTTGATCGAATTTGGTGCATGATGGGTCTCTTTCCATTAACGGTGATGTTGGGAATCAATATCGTCTCTCTCTATTGAGAGCATTACAGGCAAGGACTTGGTCTTGAGTTTGACAACTAGCAATGATTGTTGGGATTGATTTGAATCAGGATGTGGGTTTGTTGTAAAATAAGATGATGATGGAAGGAAGGAATTAAAGACACGTACAGTGGATTTTATTTTTATTTTTTCTTGATCATATGGCAGATTTGGTAAAAGGATATGGGTTATAAATGTTGGAAATTTATATATATATATATATATAATAAAAATTATTTTATGGTCCTATGCACTACGTTTTCTAAAGTATAATTGCAATGTAATTATTGATACTTGATGGATTGGGTTGTATTTTCCAATTTCGTGGTCTAATTGGGAATATGATTTTTATGTTGTTGGATTATGGTTTTTCAACTTATTTGGTGTGATTTAATTCTAACCATTAATATCTAAGTTTCCATAATAGGAATGGAGACTTAGGTATGCTTGTTTGTAGAGAAGCCGTCCCCCCTATTGTTGTTAAATATAAGGGTTTGAAAACCCTTATTCAGTTCTATCGTATCGACAACTTTCAGAAGGAGGTAAAACACTATAATTTTTCACATCTCTTAAAGGGCACTAAGAAATTCTCAAAAGTATATAAAGTTTAATCTTTTAATCAGGTATGATATCAAAAACCTCTCTTTAATTTATGATCAATTTTGATTTCTACATGTTATTTATTATTTAAACCCAACAATTGGTATCAGAGACAAGTTAAGGTTTGTAAAAATCAAGATTAGTGAATTGAATACATGTTATATATTATTTTGAATTAAGGGCAGGATAAATAAATAAATTTATATTTGATCGCAAACTGCGTACATGGGTTTTGCACTGTTTGGATCGAAATTTGTTTTTTTTTTTTTTTTTTTTTTTTTTTTTTTTTTTTTTTTTTTCGGATTTCGTGCATGACTTTAATATGCAATTGATTCATATATAATCAGGTTCCTTTTGAAAATACTTTATATGTTGTTATGCACGCCGAACGAGTTTTTTAAACAATGAA